AAAAGAAAAAAGGCCAAAAACTTTTATAAAGGCCTTTTCAGGAATAGGCCTGAATAGTATTAGACCAGCAATAGTATTAGACCAGCTCCTCAGTGGAGATGAGACATGACTGAAGCTTTACCTTGGAGTGTGATATACTCAAATCTCAGGGGCAAGTCCTCTTTCTGCTTAGTTGTTGAGGTAACTTAAAATTTTAGTAAGCAAGCAGCAAAACATAATTTGATCAAGCAGAAACCTCCAGTGTCCTCCAGTGTTTTTATTCTTCCGGTTGTGTTATATATTTCAGTGTGCCTATTATTGGATTTAAATATAATTTAACACAAACTTTGTAGTGTTTTTTTAATTGTGATATTCCCTCAACACAATCTTCGCTGCAGATCTCCCAGCACATGGGATGGAGCCCATGAACAATGCCACCAAGGGCTGTAACGAGTCTGCGGACGGGGTCATGGGGCCGTGCAGCTGCCAGGATTGCTCAGCTGTTTGTGGTCCCAAGCCCCAGCCGCCGCCCCCTCCTGTTCCCTGGAGAATCCTAGGCCTGGACGCCATGTATGTCATCATGTGGGCCACCTACATGGCATTTTTGTTCGTGTTTTTTGGAGCTCTGTTTGCCGTGTGGTGCTACAGGTAGGCCGTTTTGCTTGTCCTTCAGAGAAGGAAGAGCAGATTTATTTACCCAAGGTGCACTTCCAGCTTTCACTTGGCTGACCTTGGTTTATTAGAACAGGAAACAAATAATCTGCATGAAAACCATTCCATGAGTTGCTTATGTCCTGCAACTAGTAAACAATCAAAGGCCTGTCTAAATGCTTAGACATTTAAACGTTTGAATTTGGTTTCATTGATTTATTCAAAATGATATGTGAAGTAAAGCATCGTGCAGTAACCACCCATTTTTTTCTCATTAGTTTCAGGCATACAAAACAATGTAATAGTTGAATATTTACAACCCTCACAAAGTGATAACCCTTCTCCCCCAATCTGTTACCCCTCTGACATCATATAAAGCTGTTACAGTTCCATTGACTCTATTCCCTATGCTGTACTTCATATCCTGCGACTATATATATATATATATAAAATTACAGTTGACATTCAATATTATTCAGCTTCAGCTTCAAGTGTACAGCGCAGTGGTCAGGCATCTATCCCATCCATGAAATGGACTCTCTAATAAGACAAGTGCCCATCTGACACCCTACAAAATCTTTACATTATTGATTATATTTCCCAAATTGTCTTTCATATTCCTGTGGCAATATTGTGATGACCAATTTGTGTTTTATAATCCCCTCCCTTTCTCCCTCATCCCTACCCCCCTCCCATCTAGCAACCCTCAGTTATTTCTCTGTATCTCTGAGACTGTTTCTGATTAGTTTGCTCATTTATTCATTTCTTTAGATTCCACATATAAGTGAGATCATATGGTATTTGTCTTTCTCCATCTGATTTATTTCACTTAGCATGATGTTCTCTAGGTCCATCCATATTGTTTCAAATAAACCACCCATTCTTTAACAGAAAGTATTAGGAGCCAACCCTGATTCAAATCTATTTAAATGCAACACTGCAGTCCCTTTAGATATTTGCATCTTGATTTAGGACACATTTTTTAAAACTTTAAAAAATAATTTTAGACTTACCAAAAAGATGCAGAAATACTAGTGTGTGTGTGCGTGCGTGTGCGCGCGCGCGTGTGTGTGTGTGTGTGTGTGTGTGTGTAAAATCTCCTTTACCCAGCTTCCCTTAATGTTACAACTTACATCACCCATACTATATAATTATCAAAACCATGAAAATAACAGTGATATATTATTAGCTAAAGCACAGACTTCAAGTTTCACGTTTGTTTTTTTTTTACCTAATGCCCTTTTTCTGTTTCAGGGTCCCATATTGCTTTTACTTTTTGTGTTTTATTAGTCTCCTCTAATCTGTGACAGACAGTTCCTCCATCTTTCCATTTCTTTTATGGCCTTGACACTTTTGATGAGCACTGGTCAGTTATTTTGTAGAATGTCCCTCGATTCATCTTTATCTATTTTCTCATGATGTGATTGAGGTTATGTTTTTTTGTCAAGAATATCATAGAAGTGATGTTGCATCTTTCTCAGTACACCCTATCAGGGGGCACATGATGTCAGTATGTCTCAATTATGATGATGATAACCTTGATCACTTGGTTAAGGTGGTGTCTTCCAGGTTTATCCACCGTAAAGTTATTATTTCTCTCTTTGTAGTTGATAAATATTTTAGGGGAGATGTGTTGAGACTATGCTGACATCTTGTTTTTCCTCAAGCTGTCACCTACTAATTTTAGCATCCATCAGTGGGTCTTGTCTGCAGCTCTTACTGCTGTGGTGTTTTCCTCATGGTGATTTTGCATTTCCCCCATTCTTTCTACTATATTTACTTATTCAGTACAGAGAGCTATCCCTTCTTCCCCACTTACTTATTTATTCAATTATATACGTCATGGACTTCTTAAAAAAAACTGTGGTTTATATTATTATTTATTTTCTTGCTCAGATTCTTCCAGTTTTGACCACTGAGAGCAACTTCTGGTTGGCTCCTTTGTTTTTTTTTTGTTGTTGTTGTTTGTTTGTTTTTTAACATCCCCCCACCCCCCACCCTCTGCTTATCAAACCTGTTCTTATTTTCTGGAATCACAAGATGTTCTAGACTCGTCTTGTATTTTCCCTGTCCCAATCTTGGAATCAGCCTCTTCTGCAAGGAGCCCTGGTTCCTTTTATTTTAGAATGGTGTTTAAAAACCAAGATCGAGGCACTGGGTATGCTCACTGCTACTACAGTACAGTGTTGACTGTGTTTTTAAAAGACCTACAAGTTTTAAATATAAATGAGGGCTACAAGGTGAAATTATTCTTTTTTTGTTTTTTTAATACCTTCTTGAATTTTGTTCTGAGACTGGTGAACAGAGGGATCTAGAGCAAGGGAATTTAGGAGAAAGGTGACAATTAGGGAGGGAGAAAGGATGAAGAAGTAAGCTTTTAATGGGATTTAAGAGCAAAAGAGCAGCCTCCTTACGTTGAAGTACACTGACACTACTTACATGCTTTTATTTTTCAGAAAGCAGTATTTTGTCTCCGAATACACCCCTATTGATAGCAATATCCCTTTCTTGGTAAATGCCAGAGACGAAGGTAGGCATATTTGTACTTAAATAAAAAGATTAGGATTATGTCGGCATGAGTGTTCATTTCCTCAACAAGCGTGTATGCGCCTGTTCTGAGGACACAGCTGTGATTAAGAGAAATGGGTCTTTGCTTTTGTGGTACTAACAGTCTAGTCTGGGTGGCAAATCAGAACCAAGGAATTCACAATAGCAATAGAATAATAATGGACTGGGTTAAGAGCTGTGGAAGCCCTAACAGTAGCTTGGCTGATTGCAGGAGCAGCAGGAAAGGTTGATGAGAACTGCTTTGGACAGAGCTCAGAGAACTTTGCCTTTCGTAGGCTTGTGTGTGAGCATCAGTCCTTCGTGGGGTGGGCATGGTGGTCATGGAGGGCATGCAATAGAGTAGCCGAGGGGAGGGGAGGTCTTGTGCACATCCCCAGTGCAGGTGGGACTCCTGCCATGTGCAGTAGTGCTGATGCTTTCCCTGTTGCGACTTTCAGGAATGGCTCTGCTCCTAACCTCCACCCTCTCTCCCTTTCTTCTAGGGGGGAAATCCTGCTGCGACTCCCTTGGTGCAGCATTTGAGGGCTATCTGAGGCAGCTCTTCGCACAGTGGGGCGCCTTCTGTGTCCGAAACCCCGGCTGCATCGTTTTCTTCTCCCTGGCCTTCATTGCCGCATGTTCTTCAGGCCTGGTGTTTGTCCGGGTCACAACCAATCCAGTTGACCTCTGGTCAGCCCCCAGCAGCCAGGCACGCCTGGAAAAAGAGTACTTTGACACCCACTTTGGGCCTTTTTTCCGCACAGAGCAGCTCATCATCCGCGCCCCCCACACCGACATACATACGTACCAGCCGTACCCCGCAGGGTCCGACGTGCCCTTTGGACCTCCGCTTAACATAGAGATTTTGCACCAGGTAATCTGCTCTTTACAGAAACCAATTCTGGGGAACATGGTGGTTTGCTGGCTTTTCTGTATTGACCAGTTCTACCAGATGCAGGGTTGGGGCTGAATGTCATATATATTTTGAAACTCTTAATGGTAAAAGTAAAGTGAATTTTCAAGAAAGTGAATGATAGGTGTGAATGAAAAATTTCCTGGAGGCCACTTGTGTGTTCACTTCATACAGCAGGTCTTGCTTCTTGAAATTGAGATGCGTGTTTCTCTATTGAAGCAGGATATATTTACAATTCACCTTAGGAACTTACGAATTTTTTTCCCCTTGGTAACTGAAAAGTAATATGCTAGAACCCAAAGTACTGAAGCTTTGTGTGTTGTCCTGGGCACCTAGGAAGGTGCTACTGTGTCATTGCTGATCCTCCCTGCCGAAGTGAAGTTTTCACTGGCTGCATTTGGTAAGAGACGCATTCGGGATGAGATCGTCCTGTTCTCTTACAAAGGCCCTTAAACCGCGCTGTTCTCCCCAGTTGCACTTGCCCTGGAGAGCTGTATGTGTGAATAAACTGCATCCCACTTCTTTTTTAATGAATGGTTGCACAACCGTGTGGTTTTTCCTTTAAACGTGGCTCTTGCCTACAGAAAGTCTGATATCTTGAAAAACACCAAAGTGGTCCCACGATTTTGATAGAATCTTTTCTCCACCAATGACTGTAACTTTTCCCCAACTTGTTGGAGAAGCCGCACAGCAGTTATTTACCTCCAGGAGCATACGCTTTGTCAGAAAATACAAGAATATACATAAGTAACCATAGTACAAAGCAAGGCAGCAGGTGGTATGATGTTTGTGAGGGGTAGTGTCAGGAAGACCAGGGAAATGGCCCCCGTTTCCCCTCTGTGGCCCTGCTGGTCACTGCTGGAGAAGGGTGGGAGGGGACATGTTCGTGTGTCCTGCCCTGAGATCTGGCCTGGTATTGGTGTCACCTTCCTGCTTCTCTGGATGCCTCGAAGCAGGGCCTCCATTACAGCTTGCTGTTGCCTGAGACTGGGCCTTTTGTGTCACCAGATCCTTTACCACAGTGTGCCTTAGTCCTCTCCTTTGCCTTAGGAAGGATTTCCCCCCAGATACTCTTTATCTTCTGACTCCTCAAGGCAATAATGGTTAGTCAGAATCTGAGAGAAATCTGATACATTTCTGGACTTTTTTATCTTTCAAATCTTCTTTCAGGTTCTTGACTTACAAACAGCCATCGAAAACATTACTGCGTCTTACAACAATGAGACTGTGACACTTCAAGACATCTGCTTGGCCCCTCTCTCACCATATAACAACAACTGCACCATTATGAGTGTGTTGAATTACTTCCAGAACAGTCATTCCATGCTGAACCACACAATTGGGGACGACTTCTATGTGTATGCGGATTATCACACGCACTTTCTGTACTGTGTACGGTACGTGGCAGGATAGTCACTCACATCCCACCAATATTTGAGCACTGGCTGTTGCTACACACTGTTGTAAGCACTAGAGACCCCGCAGTGAGCAAACAGCAGGGCCCTTCCCTGCGAAGCTTATGTTCTAAAGGAGGGAAACAGATGAATAGATACGTGCTCTAATGCCAGTAGGGATGGGTGCAGAGGAGAAAATAAAGTTGGACAAGAAGATAGAGGGAAGTGGGGTATACTGGTTTAGATGGAGTGGAGACCTGCTCAAAGGGAATGGAAAGGAGGGGGCCTGTGAATATTGGAGGGAAAAGTGTTCCAAGTAAAAGAGTAGCAAGTGCAAAGGCCCTGGGGTAGAGCGTTCATGGTACATAATCAAGGAACAGCGGGTGTCTCTCAGCCTTTAACTCATGCCTGGATTGATACCATGTAGTTGCATCTACCACACCACCCCCTAAGTTTTTTTTTGAGCTGGCTTTTTATAAAAATAAATACCTGTAGTGTTTTTTCTTGCCTTTAAAATACAAATTTACATCATGACATGGAATTGTTTTTAAAACATGCAGTGTCCCCTTGAGGAGTGGGGGCTAGATTGGTGTGCAGGTTTAGACTGGGGCCACAGGAGCTGCTTCCCGAAAGAGAGACATCCAGCTGGGCAGAGTGTGTTTATAATCAAATTAGTCACAGAGAAGCTGTGCTTGCTCAGCTGTGAGGTGATCTTTAGACTTGTCCCTGCAGCAGGAAGAGCAGCTCACGCTGGATGGACCTGCCATCCCTGAATGCCCTGCCCTTTGGCCTGACCTGGTCTGGAGACCATTGTTCAGCCAAACAACCACCATGGCTGTTTCTTCATCATGGAAAATTATTCCCTGTCACCTTTGAGTGCACTACTCAACTAACCACACCTCAACAGTCAAGCACACTGACTTCTGGTCTGGTTTGGTGACCTTAAGTTCTGCCTGTTTTTGTTACTAGAATATGACACTTTAGGTGGTCGGGCTGTGTTTACTCTATTTCAAGGAGGTCACCTCTAAACACATGAGCTCGACCCGTAAAACAGTAATTGTATGCCCATATACCCTGAACCGGCATTCCCCACACGGGAGATGATACAGGGGACCATGACAGTTTGAAAAAAAAAAAAATTTAATAGTGTATAATTTTTTTATTTAACGAAAAAACTATTTACTTTTTGTTGTACAAAATAAAAGTTAACAGCACTTTGTGGTGGGGAGATGAGTGAGACGTGTTTTACCTGAGTGGGGCGCGGCTCAGATAGGTGTGGAAACGTGCTGTCAGCAGCTGTCCTGTGCGGCAGGGATCCGTGCTTATGTGTGGTTATGCTTGTGTGTCTCCAGCGCTCCCCCCGCTCCTCGCCCGCCAGCTTTCCCTAGGCTTTTTTCCCTGGAGGGCCTGTCGGAATGGCACACCTGGCCTGCCCAGGTCCGCTTCTTTCCCCATGCCCCTGTGTCACGTATCGGCTCCAACACCTGCCAGTTACTAAGACTTCAGGCTGTCGCCCAGAATTCTTCCTCGTGGAAGTTTTGTGGATTTTAACCTCTGGATGAGCTTGCAAACCCGTGATGTGGTGGCAGAGTCCCATGCGAGGGATGACGGGACCAGCCTCTGGCTGCAGCCCTGCAGCCTCTGTCCCAAGCAGGTGACCTGACCTCTGGGGCCTGATCCCAGCATCCCTCGGCTCTAAAGGGCGGTAGTTCAGATCATATTCGAGAACCTCCCTAAGCGCCCAGCAGGGTCTGGCTTACGATCTGTCCTGAAATGCTGGGTCCCTCTCCACTGCCCTCACGGCACTGCTGGTTGTCCCCGCTGGGCCGTTGCACAGACCTGCTGACCTGTCTCCAGCTCCCCTTTCTCTCCCACCTGCAGACCTGCGTCTGCTTTGCCACCCGAAGTAGCTTTGTGAAGCAGCTCCTGACCTCGTTTTCCCAAATGTCTGATTGCCCCCCAGTGCCTACAGGATAAAAATTCAAACTACTTAGCGTGGCACTTCACCCTGTCTTTTATCACCTGTCACCCTTTCCGGCCCCATCCCCTCCCTCAGAAGTCCCCCTCTTGTGGGTGCCCCATGCTGTCGACAGGACTTCCTGTTCCTCAGACCACCACCCTCTCTCCCCTCTCGCACGTACCTGTTCGTGCTTTTGCTTCTCCCTCCACAGTTGTAGTTGCGTGGAACACCCTCACTTCCTCCCTCCCGAGTGAATTGTCCCTCAGCCTTAGAGCCCTGGTTCTGTACAGGTCTCTCTTAGGTGACAGTTTTCTCCTGTGTTAGTTGTCCCGTCCCCTGTGCCCCAGGTACCGTGTCCTGTGCATCCCATCGTGCTGCATTTGTCGGCTTCTCGCTCAGTGATGCTGAGCTCCCAAAGGCAAGTACTAAACTGTGTTCACCTAGGGGATCTCAGGGCCCACATTGTGTTTAGAATGTGTAAATATTTTATTGAATAAAGGAATGAAAAATAGAGCAGCCTGATTAACTGGTGGTTGTATAAATGTTTAGGTCTCCGTGATGTCTTGAGGCCTGCTCTAACTGGGGAATGTTTTCTAAACTTCTTGGCAGGGCTCCTGCCTCTCTGAATGATACAAGCTTGCTCCACGATCCTTGTCTGGGAACGTTTGGTGGACCCGTGTTCCCGTGGCTTGTGTTAGGAGGCTATGATGGTAAGTAAGAGAAGCTTTTGCTTTTCCAATTAAATAAGGTAGTCTTGATTCTCTCATTAACAGTCAGGTGGCCATTATGAAGGTTTCATAAATTGAGCAGTCTTATTAGTTTCCTGACTCTTAAGCCCAAATATAATATCGCCTTTGGTTTTGGTTTTTTTCTGGATTTAAAAGAAGTGGACGGTATTAGCTGTTTTTAGGTTGCACTTTGGGAATGTGTCAAAAACTAAGGACATTTCCCAAGAATAATGCAGTTGTGCATATCCATTTAAGATGCTGTTCATCTTCAAGGAGTTCCTGGAAGCTCATCAGTAGGACCCCTATGGAGTCCGTGGATCTCAGGTTAAGAACATTTCTAATGGGAAAGAGATACTGTGCGAGATAGAGAGAAAGAAAGTTGATGGATTTTTTTTTTTCTTCTAAACCAATTCAATTGGTTAAGAATTCAGACACTTTCATGGTAAAAAGAGTACTTGGTTTGCTCTTTGCTGATTCCGGTAGTACCATGAAACAGATTGTACTAGGTATGATGGTATAATGATTCATGTGACAACTTTGGCATCTGAAGCCTAATTGCAGGCAGCTCAACAGGTTTTTCTCCATCCTAATGAAGAGGCCAAATAGATATTCTTCTCTCCCAGTCGGAGGGGAGAAGTTGTGATCTGTATTTAAATTTTACTGCGCTTCATATAATAAAATGCCACTTCGAACTGATGGGGAAAAGATGGTGTCACCAACTGGCTAGTCACAGCCATCAGAATTAAATTTGATCTCTACCTTATTCCTCCACCAAAATAAATTCCAGATGGATTAAAGATTGAAATATGAGAAGGGAAACTATTAAAGAACTAGAAGAAAATGCAGGAAGAATTTTTTTAAGTAATTTTTTAAATGAAGAAGGCATTTCTAAATAAGACACAAAACCCAAAAGCCACAAAAGGAACACTGATGAATTTGACTACATAAGAATTTTGATTTCCTGCGTGGAGAAAAAAACATCATAAAGTTAGAAAAAAATAAAAACAAACTGGAGAAAAATTAATATACATAACAGCATTTCCTTAATATATAAAAAGCTCTTGTGAAAAAAGAAAACATCAACAACCCAAAAGGAGACTGGACAAAGCCATGTGAAAGTTGACAAAAGAATTGCTACAAATGGCTTTTAATTGTATATGGAAAATGCTGAGCCTCACTCCTAATTAGTGGAATGCATCTCACATCAATCTTTCTATCTAACGGATTGGCAAAGATCTAAGAGTTCGATAAAACCCGGTGTGGGTGATAATATAGGGAAACTACTATGTTGGTGGAAGTGTCAATTGGTTACTAGAATATAAGTTCCAGGAAAGCGGGGATTTTTTATCTCTTTTGTTCACTGATGTATCCATAGTACCTAAAATAATGCCTGGTACAACAGTAGGTCTCAGTAAATATTTTGTTGAATGAATAAAGGAATGAAAAATAATATAGCCTCTTTGGAGGCCAATTAGGAGAATCTATCAAAATTAAAAATGCACATACTTTTATTTTATTTTTTTTAAAGATATTATTGGGGAATTGGGGTAGGGGAACAGCGTTGGGGAATCGGGGAAGGGGAACAGACAAGTTGCTGTCCCTTTTTGTTCTTCAGTCTAGTTGTGGAGGACGTTGCTTCACTGGCCCATGTTGGTATTATCATTGCGCTCTTCCCGGGTGAAGCAGTTGCTTGCTGGCCATTGGACAGTCAATCATGGCAGCTCTTGTCAGCTCACGCTGTCTGCCAGCAGCTCACACTGGCTGCCAGCCATGGTATCTCATGGCAGTCCACTGCAGCCTCACTGCAGCCTATGCCATTGCCGGCGACTCACAGCAGCCCAGCTCCAGGTCAAGCTGTTGTTCACCATCTTAGCTGTAGAGGGCGCAGTGTTGCTAGCCCATGTGGGATCCAAACCAGCAGCCCTGCTGCTCAGAACTGGAGCTCCCAAGCCAACTCTTAACCAACGCGCCACTTGGCTGGCCCACAAATGCACATACTGTTTGATTCAGTGATTCTACTTGTAAGAATTGATTCTACAAGTACGCATTTTACACATTAAAAATATCAAGTTACTCTTTGTAGTATTTTATAATTTTAAAAATTATAAAAGTATCCATTAATGGGAGATTGGTTAAATTATGCTAGGAAATATTATACAGCAGAATAAAGAGTAAGGAAGATCTTTACGCACTAAAATGGAGCTGTCTCAAGAAATAAACTTAAAAGCGTAATGTGCAGGGCCGGCCAAGTGGCTCAGCTGGTTAGGAGCTCGCTTGGGAGCACCAGCTCTGAGCAGCAGGGCTGCGGTTCGGATCCCACATTGAGGGCCAGTGACACTTGCCCTCTATAACTAAGATGGTGAACGGCGGCTCGACCTGGAGCTGGGCTGCTGTGGGTCACCGGCAATGGCGTAGGCTGCAGCAGGGCTGCAGTGGGCTGCTGTGAATTACGTGAGTGGCTGGCAGCCAGCGTGAGTGGCTGGCAGCCGGTGTGAGCTACCGGGAGCCACTGTGAGCGGCCGACCAACGACCAGCGACCGATCTGCCTCACCCGGGAAGAGCGCAATGATGGTGCCAACATGGGCCAGTAAAGCAATGTCCTCCACAACTAGACTGAAGAACAAAACAGCAATTTGTCTACCTGTCTGTTCC